TCACAAGGGGGAAACTCCCTATTTCTCAAGGTTATTTTCAAGATTACAATCTAACTTTATCTTCAGTTAGTTCCTGAAACACAGTCACTGAACCCGCTAATCCTAGATTTGATTCTTCTCTTCCTGCTTAGATTTTTGGCTATTTTCTTCCTGCTGGGGGTGGGGGTGGGAACCTGGGTTTATCCAGGGCTTTCTTTGGGGATACCTGGATTTATCCAGGGCTTTCAATCCAATATACCCAGGTATGCCCGATAGACAGATTCTGTCCCTGAAAAAGCCTGCCAAATGATGACCCCTCCCCAGAGATTCCCAGAGATGCTCAAGACCACTCCTATAGGGTATTTCAACTGCCCCCCAGAGAACAGACATGTGGTCTTCCAATCTTCCTTTCCCTTCTCCCTGTGGCACTGAAAAGCATTTGTATCCATTAAATTTCAGATTATTCTAATTCTGTCTGATTTAGATTATTACATTGTCAGAGAGGTTTATGGGTGCAGAAACTTTATATAAGGAGGTCCCACCAAGGGGTATTTTTTTTCCCCCACTGGCTTGGGACCACATGTTGTTAAAACACCACCCATACATGTTCTCTGCCAGGTTAAGATGAGCTTCAGCTGGGTAAATTGTCAAGGACCTTCCCTGTCCTGTGGGACCCCTTTTTCAGATTATCTTCTGTTCAAGAGAAGTTTCATATGCCCCCTGTTTTTTTTTTTTTTTTTTGACCCAAGCCTACCTTAGTGAACATATTGTGCTAGGCTTTGGGTCCCAGCATAGATCTGCAAAATGAACACCTGCATTTCGAAGCCTGATTCTCAAATGCTTGTGGGCTGTCTTTTACAATTTTTTTTTAATATTGGGGCTATCTGACACAATGAATACTTAACACCTACAAATTTTGCCATACATACTTAACACATAAAATTTTGCCAGTGTGGGGCCAAATAAACAAAACCCGCATATTCCAATGGTTTCTGGATACTGTCCCCTTCCCTCAGTGGCCAGTGTCTCACAAACACTGGTCTGCTGCAGACACTGGCCACTGCCCCACCTTCTCTGGCTCTTTGCTGTTTGTCGCCATTTCTGCATTCCTGGCTTGTGATCTGGTCAAGCTGGGATTCCCCTTGCAACAGATCTGCTTCCCCTGCCCCTCCCCAACTCTGAGCTGCATAGGTGTTCTATCCTTATGTTTCTGTTCTCCCTTACAGAATCTGCCTACCTGGCCCTCAGTGGGGCCACCTGTGTGCTCGCCTGGCTCCTGCAGCCTACTCCAGGATTTTTAAGTTGGTCAGCTGACAAAGTTTCCTACAAAAAGATGTTCATCTTGTCTGTTAATATATATTTGAAAATAATGTGGCCAAGTATGCTTGCTTTACGTCTGTGTGTATATGTGTGCTTGTTTTAAAATCTGTGAAACTTAAAAGTCCAGATTACAACAGCTCTGGAAAAATACAAATACATGAATAGCCACCATTTTGGTTGAGTTCAAAGTGAAAACCTTAGCGTCATCTTTGATAAGAGTACCCACGTGCACTGGCCCTTTCAAGGACTCCTTCTGCCTCCAATATACTTTGGCTTACTGAAATATCCCTTCTAATCCTTTTGTCTCCACTGACATTGGTAAGCTGTAACTGATTGGGTAAACTATATGTCTAAATTTAACTTATATGTCTAATTTAGATACACCTGACAGATAATGGCATCCTGTCTGATTCTCAAGAGCCTTTACAGATCTGAGAGTATGACATTTAACAAAAGAGCTTCTTATGATAGAGAGACATTCCAGATTCTGCAGCGTGCTATATCTCCAAAAAGATGCGTGACTACACAACTTCCTCCTTTGAATATAACAAAGCCACTCACACACAGAGAGCTATTTTTCACCTTATCAGCTGCCTGGACCCTCTTGGAATGGACAACAGTACCCTGGGGAATCGAGCATCCCACCCTGCCAAGACAGGTAGACCAAATCCTACCCCTACAGGAAAATCTGCCAGGCCCCCTGGGCTTGGCAGCTAAAGACAAATACTGCTTCTAAGACTAGAATTTGCCAAAGGCCACGAGAGGCTTGCCTGGGTAGCTGGAAGAGCTGTCTCCCTTCTGCTCATTTACTAATTTTTCTCAGATCTGTTTGATGTCTTTTGATAAATTAAGGTACTGGTAGTTCATTACTTCATTAATCAAGTTTCCCCCTAAAAATGCAGACAGGTGTGCCTCTTTCCCAGGCTTCATAGTCCAGAATTTACAGGTTTCAGATGTATCTTCAGAGGTTCAAAGTTTCCAGTTTCCTTTAATTGTCTTCTAAAATGTTAATGCCTTTTAACCTAAAGACATAGTTTTTTGCTATGACACCAATATGTCAATGAGTCTATTTCCTCTATAGTATCTTTAGCGCCTGGGATTCTCTCTTCTATCTCTTGGTTTCTGTTGGTTATACTTGTCTCTATAATTCCTATTCATTTACTAACTGACAGCTGAAGGCCCAGGACAAAAAGGATGATGCAAAGATATTGAGGTTTGGCACTATGAAGAGAGACTATGAAAGGTTATTGGTGAAAGTACAACCCAGTTGCAGCAGAAGACCCCAGCATTTTGGAGATGTCAGCACCATGGGATGACCACCAAGAAAAGCAGCAGCTGCAGAGTGGAACCAACTGGACCCTGGCAGACAAGCTGTATGTGCTGCAGAGGACAGAGCCAGAGAAGTGACCCTAGCTCTTTGGAGGAGTCCAGAAGATTGAGAGAGTGGATCCACTACAGTGAACAATTCGAGTTAGATTTTGCATTGATTTGATTGTGACAATTGAAGTAAGTTTTTCCCCTCTTTCCTTTGTCTAAAGAAAAATATATTGATTTTACTATCTTCTTTTATTGTTAAGAATGTAATTATTTCATCCTCACTAAGGAGGGGTCTGACAGTGCTGTGCAAATATAAATAACCAGTGATTTTCAACCTGTGGCTCAAGACCTCTTTTTTGGGGGGGTCAATTGATACTTTCATGGGGGTTGCATATTAGATATTTGCATCACAATTAGTAATAGTAGCAAAATTACAGTTACGAAGTGGCAATAAAATAATTTTTTGTAGGGGGGCCACCAACATGAGGAACTGTATTAAAGGGTCACAGCATTAGGAAGGTTGAGAATCTTCATAATAGAGCATAATAATTTAGTTAAGCTGTGTAGCTGTTGGCTTCCTAGGTAAAAAGAAAACAACAACAACAAAAACACTCTGCTTTATCCTCTCTTCACCCCCAAAAGACAGAACTCTGCAGATAGAAGCTGGGAGCTAGTGAGGAAAACATCCTTAAAATAGACTTCAAAAGACAAGATGAGCCAGGACATGTGATTATGTACATAGGATCTCTATTGTTATTATTCATGAGCCTAAGTTATAAGCTCATTCAGATTTTCTAGCACTGTAGCATCTATGCTATGGGAAGCAAGACACAGGTTATGTCATGAGTAGTCCATATTAAATGTGGACACATTGGCTGAACTGGGTGGAGGGTATTGAGCTGAGCTGCAGAAGCTGCAGTCTGTTGGAGTCCCCCACTGTCTCTGGTGAAGCATACAAATATATTTTCACAGGGCAGAGGCCTAGTGTAGAATTAATTTCGGCAGAGTGTAAACTGTACAATAGCCCTATGAATTATTCAAGGCTCCAGATGGAGTTGGTGGCTGTCTCAGATAGTGAGACATAATTATAATATTTTGTTAGATGGCAGAAATAAACTATGTTGTTTTGATCTTTAAGTCAGAGACTCATTCTGTAGACTAGGATGAGCTAGACCTCATAGTAATCCTACTGCCTCATCCTCCCACAAGCTACGAATACACATATGAACCATGTTAAAGTAGCAATTGGCCTTTTGGAAAAGAGTCCCACATGATCTTTTTTGTTTGTTTGTTTGTTTATTTGTTTTTCGAGACAGGGTTTCTCTGTGGCTTTGGAGCCTGCCTGGAACTAGCTCTTGTAGACCAGGCTGGTCTCGAACTCACAGAGATCCGCCTGCCTCTGCCTCCCGAGTGCTGGGATTAAAGGCGTGCGCCACCATCGCCCGGCCCACATGATCTTTTGTCTAAACTTTCTTCCTCGTTATATGGTATTCTTTAATAATACAGATGAAAATGAATTCACACAAAGATGACCAAAAGCAGAGGTATTGAAATTTTCCATAGAATACTCAAAGAAGAGAAATGAAATAGTTCCTAAAACTGATATTTAAGATAAAGCAAACAAACAGCACTCCCCCCAAAAATTTAGTCTGTTTATTTTCTAATGAGAAAAAGAAAGAAAGCATATAAATTTGGGTATGAGGGAAGTTGGGAAAGGGGAAACCATAATCAGAAAATATTGCATGAAAAAATATATTTTCAATAAAAAAGAACCACTTATAGTGCTCAAGAAACAAAATAAAACAAGGTTTTGAAACTTGACTATTGAAAAATAAACCATATACTTGGGGAGAAAATATTAAATAAAATAGAATATAATAGCATATTCTTGTAAAATTGGACTCAAAAATGTCTGCTAAATCTGTTATACTATCAAATTTTAAAAGGATAAGAAAATTGGTTTGTCTTCAAATATCAAGTGACATGTTTTTAGTAAAAGAAAATTTCATATCTGTCAATGATTCAATATCTAGCCAAAACTAATATAATAAAATACCAAGACAATCTATATCTATATATGAATGAATAAATAAAGAGCATCTGTCTGATATGAGAATTTACATATAATGATACTAATGAATATTTCTCAAGTTCATGAAGAGATGGCTAATTTGGGGACCACCATAATAACAGCAAATTATAACTAAGGGGAAATGTACTAACTTACATCTTACAAATACAGAGTTTAAAAGAGAGAAATCTTAATTCAAGAACACAAAGTAACTATAAATTGGTTCCAATCTAGTTTCAGATAACACAGATTATATCGTCCTTTTCACAACTAAAATATTTTCGCAATTAAACTTCAACAAGGGAAACTGAATTTATAAATTCTTGTCCATCCAACTAACATACATATCCTTTATCCTCAGCCCTAGTTGTAAGTAGAGAGGTGATGTCATGTATGACAGGGCCCCATGGATTCCATCCTCAACGTGGTCATGGAAAACTGGCACTCCGACGTTCTGAAGTCTTGAAACATACATAATTCCATCATCTCTCAGGACGTCATATTGACAGGTGAGGATGTATGTCCGTGGCAAGTGCTGTAAGCGGGCATCGTCGGCTAATAGGGGCAGTGCTCTGGGGTCCATCAGGGCCGGCAGCGAGTAAGCAGATTTCCCAAGCACAGGCTCGGTGTACTCATGGTCCTTTCTGTACTTGTCAGGAAGAAGAGTGGTCCAGTTCACAAACCTGAAGAGATGCCTGGACTCCAGAGGCATGTGCTGGTTTTTTCTCATGGCCCGTGGAAGTGCCTCGTCCTTGGTGAAAAACAGACTCACGAGCTTTATGGCTATGTCTCTTGTCAGAACTATACCGTGTTCATTGTCTCGATGCGATGGCAAAGAAGTGTCAATCACCTGTAAGCCAGGATAAAGTAAGGCCTGCAACTTGAGTTTATGCTTCACTTCAGGATCAATCTGCACCTGAAAAACAGGATGTCCTGTGAGGCAAAGGCTTCCAATATTCCAAAAGAGAAAATGTAACCGTGACAGACATGGGAACAAACCTACGCAGAGTGCTGTTATAAAGTGCGGTTATGTCAAAAATATCTATAATACCCTTGATCAGTACTAAGTGTCAAACCATTGAAAGAGCATTTTAAAAATGTTTCTTGAGTATATGAGAAAAGATGAGAGAGAAAATAAAGAGGTAGAGTGACGGAAGGCAGAAGGAGGAGAGATATACAAGTATGTTTTTATCAAATGTCACTAACAGAAATAACACAGTCTTAAAGATGACGGAGGAATTTAAGCATTTAGATTTGTAGAAATTATTCTTGATAACTGGCCAAGGTGCAGAGGATAAGAGACTGAAATGTTCAGCCCCAAATGGGACATCTGTATAGCTTAGCTCCTCCGAAGGTTCAGAAGCAGAAAGATTGTAAGAGCCAGAGATAGCGAATGGTTACGTGGAAACTGTCTGGACACAGCAGAAGAGTTGCATATATGAGTTCACGGTGCTTGTGTAAGCATGTGTAAGATCTGTGCAAGCCCAAACCAGACTAAATCCCTGCACGGAGAGAAATGGGCATGCCGTCTCACCCTTAGCATTGTAGTTGTTGACATTTGATAGCTGCCGGGAAAAAGAGAGTCAGTTTTCTCTAACAGTGTAGCCCCTGGTGAATCGCATATGATCCAGTAAATAATCAGATATCCAGGACTATATGGGTGGGACAAATTAGGCTCAATGTGTTTTTTTTTTAAAGAAGAAATAAATTTTGATGGTTAGGGAGAGGGGTATGTATATTGGAGGAGTTGGGAGAGTAGGTTAATATGATCAAAACACATGACATGGAAATTTTTCAGAGAACTATTTTTCTCTTTTTGAAAATATATTCTTCTCTTACACAATATTTCTGGACCACAGTTTCCCCTCCTTCTACTCCTCCTAGCTCCCCCTCCACCTCCTCTCTGCCCCAGGTTAACTCTGTCTCTATTTCCTTTCAGAAAAGCACAGGCATCCTAAAGACAACAACCCAACATGAACAAACAAAATACACCAAGACAAGGCAAAAACCTTCATATTGAGGCTAGACAAGGGAAACCAAGAGAAGGAAAAAAGTCCCAAGAGAAGGCAAAAGAGTTAGAGACACAGTCACTTCCTTGGTTGGGAGTCCTCTCTCTCTCTCTCTCTCTCTCTCTCTCTCTCTCTCTCTCTCTCTCTCTCTCTCTCTCACACACACACACACACACACATCACCAAGCTAACAGCCATAGCATGTATATAGAAGACCTGAAGGGGGTCCCGTTCTTGCCGATTTCCCAGAGAACTAGTTTCTTTTTTTAAAAAAAGATGAAACCAAGCACACTAGTATCTAGTATTATAAAGAAAGGGTGACTCCTCCTTAGCAGGACTGAGATGATAAGAGAAAAGGAACTGTCACTGAGCTCCACAGGCATCCCTTATGATATTCTACAACAGATTTTACGACAGGCTAAGGATATGTATGTATGGAAAAGGCCCCTAAACTCTGTCTTAGCTTGTTTATTGGTGTCATGGTAAGAAATCATGTTGAAGTACAGGAAGTAATGGAATAGAAATTAAAATATAGAAAAAATAGTCAAAAAAATAAAATAGTCAAAGTAATTTTAGTAGAAAATTTACCAAATCTAAGAATGTAGAAACTTAGTACCCAAAACATCCATAACTAATAGTAATCTTGTATCATGTTATTGTTATAAAGCTAACACAGAACAAAGAGAATTTTTAAGCCTAAAAGTGTAAAATTGCTTACAAAATGAAGTATACCAAAATTATATCTAATCAAAAATTTACAGGATGTAATAAATCCTTAAATAATTATAATATGATGAGATCGAAACAGTAATAAAAGTCATCCAAGGAACAAACCCTTAGGACTGAAAATATTTGTAAAATGATCCCATAAACTAGTCTATATTCATCAAAAGTACCTATAAAATAAAAAGGGTAAGGATGCTTTCAACGTCATTCTATAAATGATAACAAGCACTGATAACAAAGCTGGATGAGGCCAGAACAAAAAGGGAAATCATCGATCAGTTTCCAAGGTAAACATAGACTTAACAATCCTCAATAACCAAATCAAATTCAACAACACTGGAAAAGCTCATATAATAAGATGAAGTTGACTTTATCCAAACAGTGAAAAATTAGTGCGACATATACAAATTTAAAAATAAAATTCTGTATGCAAATATGATGAGGAACCGAAGCTGAAATAGTTGCAAAAGATGTGAAAATTTTCTTGCAAATCCACCATTCCTTCATGATTAAAAAAAAAAAAACTCAAAGAAATTAGGTAAGATAGAGTACATTTGAAAAGCGCTAGACTCAAGAAATCACCAGCCATCAATAAACCAAATGAAAACATTTCCTCTAAAGCTACAAGCACCCGATCTCACCATGCTGCTTCAAATAACAGTGGAAATCTTAACTGGAGCACTAAGAAGGAAAACCATGATTGGGTATCAACTGGAAAGGAAGAAATTTATTTCTGCCTATTTATAGATGATACAGGTATAAGTACTCAAAAACCTATAAATTGTTGTATAGAAGCCGCTTGTTTATTTCCCAACCTCCCAACAGCCCAGACCCGAAATAATCACACAGAAACTACATTATCTAAATCACTGCTTGACCCATTAGCTCTAGCTTCTTTTTTTTTTCTTTTTTTTTAATTTATTTATTTATTTATTTATTAAAGATTTCTGTCTCTTCCCCACCGCCGCCTCCCCTTTCCCTCCCCCTCCCCCAATCAAGTCCCCCTCCCTCATCAGCCCAAAAAGCAATCAGGGTTCTCTGCCCTGTGGGAAGTCCAAGGACCACCCACCTCCATCCAGGTCTAGTAAGGTGAGCATCCACGAAACTGCCTAGGCTCCCACGTAACCAATAGGTCCAGTAGAATCAAAAACCCGTTGCCATTGTTCTTGAGGTCTCAGTAGTCCTCCTTGTCCGCTATGTTCAGCGAGACCAGTTTTGACCCAGGCTTTTTCAGACCCAGGCCAGCTGGCCTTGGTGAGTTCCCAATCCCCATTGTCTCAGTGTATGGGTGCACCCCTCCCGGTCCTAAGTTCCTTGCTTGTGCTCTCTCTCCTTCTGCTCCTGATTTGGACCTTGAGATTTCAGTCCGGTGCTCCA